TCTTAGTCGACTTTTCTTTTTCTTATCTTTCATCTTTTTTCCTTTTTCTCTACCGCATTTTTCTCGTCTCGGTATGGTTGACCCGGTAAGTCAGGAAAATGAATAATGATGTGTGCGGGGTGTCAGGGATGGGGTGGGGCTTCGGACAGCAGGGAAGAAGAATTGGTCGGAAAAGTAAGTAGGTCGAACTCATATATATATATATATATAAATATATATATATATATATATATATATACAATATATAGACATGTGCTAACGCAAATGTGTATACTACTTGTGTATGTTTTATGTTATGACGTACGCATGTACGTATACATGTATATATTTATATATGGTACGTATGCGTTGAAACGCAGGACGTGCGTAGAATCGGTAATGAGAATTAGATTTTGTAGGTAGTACGTGACATTTCATAAGAAACATCTCGATGTAAGTAAATACATACTCTACCTAAATACTCGTGTCTCGTTTCCACTTGTTTGTCGTTCGTTCCTTCGTTTTTTGTTTGATTCTTACTTTCTTTCTATTTTTTTTATTTTTCTTTTTTTAATTTTTTTTCTCTAATTTTTTTTTGTACCACTTGTTTATTACTTTGTTACCTAACTGTTATCGTATCGCGTATTGCAAGCTTTGTTCCACGTTGACTAAACGAATTGTACGATGTTTAATAGGATACAGCGAAATTTGTGATTAGGTGTGTGTGTGTATGTGTGTGTGTATGTGTGAATGTGTATGTGTATATACCATCTACCTGTGTGTATAAGTGGGTAGTATACGTACGACGCATTTTATCTACTTAATATTGTGTAACTACTCTGAGAGAAATTTTGGTTGAATTAAAAGGGAAGAAATGGATAATAGTAATATTCGAATTAATGCTAATATTTGACGTGGTAGATAATACAATTGTATGATATATATACATATATATATATATATATATAGATGGTAATAAAAGACGCGCGAGTCTGATTTGCGGCTTGTTACTTAATTAAGCAATAACAGTAGCAGTAGCAGTAGCAGTATTAGTAGCAGCAGCAGCAGCAGCAGCAGCAGTAACAGCAGCAGCAACAGTAGCAACGATAGCAGGCTGCGGCAAGTCAGTGTCGCGACTAATAATAGGACTGCTGTTTTATTAGAACGTTTAAACTATGACCGCGAACGAGAAGGTTAGCTGGTCAGCGGCGTCGCAAAAGTAAATGAGCAGATCTTTAAAATGGTAGACAGACGAGTGAACAAACAAAATGACTAACTGACTGACTGACTGACTGACTGACTGACTGACTGACTGACTGAGTGACTGATAGATAGATAGATAGATAGATAGATAGATAGATAGACAGACAGATAAACTATTTCGTTTCGTTTACGTATATACACATATACAGTAACATAAGAGTAAAGGATGAAAAGCAGAAAAACATGTCGATCTTCTACGTTTCTTGAAAAATCGATTAGCCTTTCCCATGAATACGATCAACAAGTTATATTCAACGAATCTAATTTCCATTGATTTTTGCCTTTTAATTATTAGATTACGCGTCTCCTTCGTTTTATTTATTTATAATCGTCGATGATTCATGAAAATGTGTTTTGGTACAAACAAAATTTTGATCGAAGAGAGAGAGAGAGAGAGAGAGAGAGAGAAGGAGGGTGGAAGGTAGGAAGTATTCGATTTCCGTGTGTCCTTGAGATTCTTCCGTTCAAAAACACTATAACATATTTTCGTTTAGTAACGAGAATTTTCAAAATGGCGTAGTAGCACGGACATTGCCAGTTAGAAAAGCAGCAATGATATATTCTATTTAGCTCGTGATTCGTGCGATTAAGTGTGTGATGGTAGATCTAATGTGGGTTAGTAGGCGTCGAACTCGTCGTATCGACGAAACTCGACCCTGTCTCGTCTTCTTCTTTTCATTTTCTTTTTTTTTCCTTCACACACACACACACACACACACACACGTACGCACGCACACATACTATTTCTCACTTATTTTTGTTCGAATGTAAAATCGTGTCTCGTGAAATAAAATCGATGCCTCGGTGAACGAGTTAATAGAAGAGAGAAGAGAGTGAAGAAGAAGGGGCGGGGAGGGGGTGTGGGTGGGTTGCCTGTGTCGTTCGACGATGCAGTTCTGAAAGCGGAAGCATTCTTCTTCGTTGCTCGATTACTCCCACGCGGCTCAACAGGTTTTTTCTCTCCCACTTTCATTTTTCTCTTTCTTTTTCTTGTGCTTTTTTTTTATTTTATTTTTTTTCTTTTTTTTTATTTTTCCCCTTTCTTCCTTCTACTACTTCTCCTCAGAAAGAAAATCAATCTAACGGATGAAGGAATACGACGATAATAGCATTAGAAAGAGAGAAAGAGAAAGTGGTCAATAAACGAGAGTTTAGCTTTAACAATGTCCCTTAATTCACATACGTGTTTTATAGATTTAACGACATTTTGAATAAGACAAAAAATAAAAAAGAAGAAAAAGAAAAGAAAATGAACAGTTTTGTCTTCCATATTTAACCAAATGGCCGAAGTGTTTCTTTATTGATCGAATGATCAAATACGTCTTCTTATTTAATTATTAAGCGAATTTTTCTTGGAATTCCTCATATATATATATATATATATATATATATATATATATATATATATATATATACCTGGATATTGCATTGGTAAAAAAAGAAAGAATATTATAATTTAGTCTGGAGTGTCTCTTAATGTCACGTCCTCTTTTATACATCGGACGCCATTATTGTCAAGATAACCGTTTATATTTGAGCGAACAAATCATTATTCATATATTATCTTATTAAATGGATTTAATTATATACGTCCTCTTTTATTGTTAATTATTTATAAACGGATTATTTTTAGAAATTTTTATTGAAAAAGAAAAAGGAAAATAATAATAATAATAATAAATATTTTTCTTGTTTCCTTCCTTTTTATATATTTTACATATTAGGTCAACGCCGATGATAAATCTATAATTTCTAAAGGGTTTAACTTCTTAGAAGCAGTACGTGTTGGCTTCCTGTTACTCTCTATCGACTTATAAATTCCAGGAGCTTTCGACGTGTTCAACGAGTATTTTGATTACCATGTAATCTCATTACTTTTACCAATCGTTACGTTCGACGCTTGTATATTTACCGTGTAAACGCGATGTTAATTTATCCGTTGTTGTTCATAATCGATCATGTCATTTATTTATAAAATAAATAATCAAACCAGACAGCAGAAAATATTTAGCCTTAATTTGTATACACGTGTACGTGAATCAATAAACTTATCAAAAAAAAAGAAAGAAGGAAAAGAAAAAAAGAACAGCAAAATGGCGGAACTCCTTAGGACATATTTGCTCAGACATTACGCGTGAAACGTAATTTTGTTAAATTTCCATTTAATTATTTGAAAATATTTAAATGTGTGTGTATATATATATATATATATATGTATATAGGTAATTAAGCTTACAGAACAAATTGTACAACAAAATGGCGAAGCTTCTTACATTCTATCCCGTGATACATAATATACAAAAATGTGATATATAATTAAAAAAAAAAAAAAAAAAAAAAAAAAAAAAAAAAAAAAAAAAAAAAATCATTTATTTCATTAGAATATTTGTTGTTCCTCTCTTGTCTCTTATCTTCGACATCTTTTTCTCACCTTTTATCCACGGTACACTTTAGCACTGTGGTAGACTCTCTCTCTCTCTCTCTCTCTCTCTCTCTCTCTCTCTCTCTCTCTTTTACGGTTCGTAGCTCGAGCGAAGAAGCAGAGGCAGCGAACGAATGCGAGCGCTGCTCGCATATATACCACATATATACATATATACACGCATACACATATACGCGTAGAACGAGCTGCCGCAACGGCAAGGCCAGGGCCGAGAGCGGTTGCTCGTTTTCTTGCGCAACCAGATTTCTTCTCGGATTCCACGCTCGCTCTAACAATCGCCGGACGACTCTCGGCACACACTCACGGCACACACTCACGGCATGGCCGTTCTTCTCTTATATGGCGTTTATATCCGATGAGACGGAGATATACCTATCTATCTACCTACATATATGTATATACATACTTATGTGTGTGTGTGTGTGCGCGCGTGTGTGTATGTGTGTGCGCGTGCGCGCGCGCGATGTGCGTATAATACGTATACATGAAATACAATACATAGGACTGAGAAAGAGATCTCTCGAAGATTTCCGCCATTTTGTTGATGAAAGTGTATCCAGTTACAAAAAAAAAAAAGAAAAAAAAAAGAAAAAGAAAGTAATGTAAATAATATATATATAATATTATTTACTTCATGATATGAAAATTGTTTTCATTGGATATTTCAACGATCGTAACGACGATCTTATTAGATCTTTATGGATACTTTCTGATCTAAAAATTTATCAGAGGAGTGTCCAAACTCTGTATCTTGAAGTTTCTGTCGCTTTTATCGTTTCTAGTGCTCAAGGATAGCGTCGTAAAACGTTACGGTATTCGCCCGAATAGAAAAGAGAGAGAGAGAGAGAGAGAGAGGGAGAGAGAGAAAGAGACTGACTCGTTTAAAAGCGCCTTCGCACACACACATACATATAAACGAACACATTTCTCGCACACATTCGCTTTATAAACTTATTTTACGAGGACTTAGAAACCTTCCTACGGTTGCACAATTCGTCGGCAAATCACATCGATAAAACGTTTTTAAAGCATCCGACTAAAAACGTGTAAAGATGCGTGGTGATACACGAGAGAAACTATCCGAGTACAATCCGATCGTTTGACTTATTTGGTAGAGAATAATCTACGTCACTCGTCACGTCGCCATAGTCCACGTTGGCGTGATATTTCTTTCGTTCTTTCTTTCCTTCCTTTTTTCTACATTGTTTCCCGTCTTTCTTTCATTCTTTTCAATTTAAAAAAATTTTATTTTTATGTTTTATTTTTTATTTATTTAT